TTTGTTGAAATATCTCAATCGGTATGCCATCAATTCCCGGAGCCTTGTTCTTCACCAGTTCTTTCATTGCAGCTTTGACTTCTTCCTTCATTACCAAGAAAGATGCTTACTTGTGTTTTATTGACTATGCAAAAGCATTTGACTGTGTGGATCATAACCAATTATGAATAACATTGAGAAGAATGGGAATTCCAGGGCACTTAACTTTCCTCATCACTAACCTGTACATAAACCAGAAGAAATCAGATGTCATATTTTACTGGACAAATCTGCTGCAAAAGACCTCTTTAAAGTGTTGAAGAGCAAAGATGTCTCTTTGAAGATTAAGTGCACCTTACCCAAGCCATGGTATTTTCAGTCACCTCATATACATGTGAAAGCTGAACAATGAATGAGGAAGACTGAAGAAGAGTTGATGCTTTTCAGTTGTGTTGATGAAGACTACTGAAAGTACTATGGGCTGTCAGAGGAACGAACACATTTGTCCTGGAAGAAGTGCAGCTGGAATGTTCCTTGGAAGCAAGAATGGCCAGACTTCGTCTCACCTACTTTGGTCATGTTGTAAGAATAGACCATTCCCTGGAGAAGAATATCATGTTTGGGAAAGTGGAGGGTCAATGAAAAAGGGGAAGACCCTCAAGGAGATGGATTGACACAGGGGCTGCAACGATGGCCTCAGGTATAGCAAGGATTGTGAGGCTGGTGCAGGACTGGGCAGTGTTTCATTCTGTTGGACATAAGGTCGCTATGAGTCAGAGCTGACTCAATGGCACCTAACAACAACACAACACAATGGATTTAAAATGATAACATGGTCCTGAGGGATGTGAAGAAATAAAACAAGGCCATGCACTCTAGTTGGGGAGATAAGAATAATTTGCACCATGACTAGCTGAGAAAAGAAATGCTGTCAGTATAAAGGTGGAGTCCATGTGGACTCAGTGGTCAGGAAAAGTTTAAGGGCCTGTAAAGCTTGGATTTGCCCTTGTAAAGGAAGGGAGATATTTGGATAGGTCAAGAAGCCATCATAGGCCTGACCTGACTTTAGGACATGCCTCAATTTTTATTGGAACAATAATTTTTCTCCACTCATTGTTAAATTTTATGTGATTGCAGAGTAGAGAGCAACTTGAAAGATCCCAAATCTCTGCATTTCAAATGCAGTAGTTCCCAAAGTGCTTACCATAGAACACTGGTCCTATAACATAGTTCTTCAGAGAAAGACCTCCTTGGAGCCTCACAGAGAAGCCTTGTAATAAAGAAACCTGCTTAATGTTTAACCTACAATTTCTCAAAATTTTTTACTGCTTTTTCCCAAAAAATAAAACACATTACATCCCACAGAACACATTTTGGGAAAGTCTATTATGGTCCTGCATAACATATTTTGCTTTACTAATTATTACCTGTCTGTGTGCCATACTTAGAAAACTGCTTAAAATCTCAAAATTCTTGAGTGCTTTCCTTTCACTTAAATGATTTAACAGAAGTCTGGTGGCATAGTGCCTAAGGCATTTGACTGCTAACCAGAAGGCTGGTGGTTCAAACCCAACCAGCCACTCCTTGGAAGGAAGGTTGGGCAATCTACTTCCATAGTGATACTGCCTCAGAAACCCAAGGAGGGGTTGCTATGAGTCAGATCTGACTCCACAGCAGTGTGGGTTGTTTTTTTTTTTTTTTTTTTTTTGGTGGGGGGGATGATTAAACACCCTGCTCTTTCATACTGAGCCCTCACTGCCCCTGGAGCCTAATCTTCTGTTACTCCTCTACACACCCTGCACAGCAGCTGAACCAAATTATTTGTAATTCCCTGATCATGATCTTTAAAAACAAAAAAACAGACAAATAGTGTCTTGCATATGGTGGCTTTTCTACTTGAAATGTCCTTTCCCTGACCTTCTTGACAGGTGGTGAACTCTTGTTTGTTCATCCAGACTCCACCCTTCTGTGAAGCCTTGACCAACTACTGCCTCCTCATTTCCGACCCTCCTCAGCACTGGGCACTTACTCCTATGGTTCCATCTAGCTCTTTGCACACATCCCTACTATAGAATCCAGCCCAAGGTTTTGTAATGTTTGGTTCATAGGTCAGTATTCCCATCTAGACAGTAAGTTCTTAAGTGCAAAGACCATGTATTTTTATTCTTCATTTCCACAGAGCTCAGGCCAATGCCTAGCTCATAGGAAAAGTACTAATATTTATGGAGTACTTTCTCTGTACCTTGCCCTTCATAGGTTATCTCATGTAGTCTTCATAACATTTCTATGAAGTAGGTGCTTTTATCTCCATTTCACAGACACAGAATTCAAGGCTTAGAGAGCTTAGATAGTATGATCAGGATCACAGAACCAGTAAAGGGTAGAGCAAGGTTTTGGTTCCAGATCTGTTTTCTCCCAAAGCTTGTGTTTTTTTCAACTATGTGATGCTTAGGCTCAGTAAGTATTTGCTAGATGATGACTGTGGTTGAATATGTTTAATAGCCATGGAAACAAGTTCTAAGGGATCAGAATGTCCTATGTTGAATAAGATTTAGTCCATCATCTGGAATTACCATTGTCTGCGAGTTACATGGCCTTAGAGATATTTCAGTGGAGCTATCCTGGAACTTAGTATTTTGTCCATGTTACAAGAATACTTCCTTTAAAATGAGATAAGCATACTGTCATCTCTTTATATCACTTTCTATAAATGAGCTACTAGTAAATAATACAATATAAGATCTCTAAGTACTTTTCTGAGTAACTGAATTTTAACTCATCTTCACAGAGAAACACATTCCAGGCTGTTCTCGCCTCCTCTGATTCCAGTTCCTATGCCATTTTCCTGTATCCAGAAGATGGTCTGCAGTTCTATACAACATATTCAAAGAAGGATGAAAAGCAAGTCCCCGCTATGGTTGCATTCAGCCAAGGTTTAGTGGGATTCATATGGAAGAGCGACGGTGCTTATAATATATTTGCAAATGACAGAGAATCGATTGAAAACTTGGTCAAGTATGCTTTCTGTATTTTTCAATAGACTCTCCTCCTTAATAAAAGTATCATTTATTGAGGATAATGTTATAGGCATTACAGAATGTTACCTAAAAATCTTAACACAGATTTAAATTTTGTATCTAGTTTTTTTTTTTTTTTTTTATGTTATGCAGTACTTTTTTTCTGATGAACTCAAAGGAATATACTCTTAGAATGAACAGGTATTCTGTTGTTTAGATATCATCCTTATTTTAAACCATTTCTAGTATCTCCCCTTTAAGTGTAACATTAGAAATGAATTATTCAAACCTATATCCTTCTATGAACCTGAGACAGAAAACCTGCCCTCTGCCACAGACTAGTGTTGTTCTTACAACAGGGACAGTGCTCTTTCAGGTTATTTGGAAGAATTTAGTAAAAAGAGGAGAAGTCAAGACTGCTTTCCCTAAAACTGAAATTTTTCCTCTTCCCTTATTCCATAAAAAAATAATTTCCTGTTCCCACTAATTTCATATTATCAAATCTAGCCTAAAACTTAGTGGTATGTTCATAAATGCCTAGCATTTGTTGTCTGGGTGTGTGTTCTGGGAAGCCCTGATGTATGGCAGTTGCTTATTTCTGTGGTGTAAGTACTATGGCACTGTCATTGCAAATCCCAAACTAGTATGATGTCACTCAACATGAATTTGAGAAACAATGCACCATCATATAATATGATACAGTATTTCGACCCTAATGATACAATATATTTAAATAATTTCAACAGCATAAATAAAGAGAATAGTAAAATAATTAGAATGTGATGAGTTTTGAAAGGAGCCCTGGTGGCACAATGGTTAAGCAGTTGGCTACTAACCCAAAGGTTGGTGGTTTGAATCCACCAGCCACTCCATAGCAGAAAGATGTTGCAATCTGCTTCTATGAAGATTGCACCTAAGAAACTGTGTGGGGCAGTTCTACTCCATCCTATGGGGTTGCTGTGAGTTGGAATCAATTAAAAGGCAATGGCGTTTTTTTTAAAAAATAGGATGAGTTTTGAATATTTATTGTATTTAATTTATTTAGTTGTAATATTGTATATATATATATATATATATATATATATATATATATATATAT